CATTAAATGTGAAGTGTCATGCAGGGAATTGTGAGAATGTCAATTTACATTTTTTCACTGTAAATTATACAATGACTTGTTCTTTTTCACTTCCAAAAACTGTAAATTTAACGGTATTTTACAGTAAAATGACATTAAATGTACCATTATATATATCACAGTTATTTACCGTATATAGTAAGGAAGTTTTTCACTGTAGCATTTTTACCGTTAAAATCACGATAATTTTTTACAGTAACATTGAGAGCAGTAATAGTAAAAACGGGCTAAAAGTTTTCGAGAGAGTTCCACATGTAATACTAGCTATGCAAAGATGTTAGCCATTCACAGCAGTGGGCGTTTACACTGAAGTCTCACACAGACACGCCCCTTCAAACAGACTGTTCAAATCAGAGGGCAAAAATCAGGCTAGCAAAATGCCTTTTATTTCTAAATTATGAACATTTTTGAAGTAAATCATACTAACATCATAAATGCACCCCAGGAAACATTATGAAAAAACAACACAGTTCATGACCCCTTTAAATCTGGTCGGCATGTTAAAAAGAAACAATAATTGACTTTTATGAATCACACAAACAGTTCACACAAACCAAATACAGATTTACATAGTGGAATATTATGGAATTTATTATGGACACTCTTTTAATTTACAAATAGACAAAAGATTTCAAAGCACTAAAGATCTGATTATCACGTCATAACCCTTCATAGTAACCACAGGACTTTCCAGAACTCATGGGTTGTTCCTGTAAACAAATCATTCATTTCACAGAACAACGGATCGACAACACAGCATTGATATTTACAGTGAGAATTTTTTTAAAAAATCTCACTCAAACAGATCAGATGAAACGAAGAACCAGGAAATACTGTGTGAAAAATGCAGATATAAACACAAATAAGGAAGAGCTGAGCAGTGCGAGACAAACAGTTATACGGTGGGTTGCAAGAAGAAAGACAACAATGGGAGCTGGTAATTGTTTTGTTTATTACTTTACCATTTAAAATGTATAACTGATTATGAACAAGTTTGTTTATAAATATATTTACAACCATCAAAAAAAAAGACTTTCACTTTCACTTTGTCCTGAGAAAAGTACGATGCAACATGCCTAACCAAAGCTTGTTAATCGTATAATTGCACATTTCAGATGTTGTAAAGCCCCCCAAAAATTGCCAATCACTGTTCTGTAGGAAATTCACAGGTGTACAATCAGACTGATGATCTTGGCCAGGAGGGAAATATTTTAAAGGTGAGAACACTTTTTTTGTTAAAGACATTTTGCGTTGAGCTTATAACTATAATGTTCCAGTCAAATATAAAGCAGTTTAAAATGGCAGATCAAAAAGACTGTAAAGCCTCATGCACACTAGTGCTGGCAGTGCTACTGGTTAAGTCACTGGATTACACTGATCAAATTAGTCATTTTATCTTCTGTAGTCTGTGAAGGCGCTTTCTCCTCCCTCTCAAACACTAATGGATAACCAATCCGTCCACACTTCTGCATCTCAAAAATGCCCAGACCCAAATGGAAAAAACCCAGATCCCACAAACACAGTGAGCACTGCATATTAACTTCATTTAATTGTCACTAATTACAGTCTGAACCAAGCCCATCAGTCTCAAGTTGCAAATGTTTATTAATTAGCACCCATATCTTCCATTTTTCCAGTGCCCAGTTTCTTTCTCTGCACTGAAACCTGCATGTATAAAAGGGTGTACTACAAGTGAACTGCTTCACTGTACTCAATGCCTGACCACTCAGCGCCTGTGTGGCTCCTGCCTCTACCCCTGCACTTCTGCTGCCTGCACCAACAAGCTGTGCCCCCTCGTCTCCACACTGCTAACCTGCGAAGTGGTATCCGATCCAAAGAGTAAAGTGCTTGGTTGTCCAATGTTCAGAGCCTGTCCCAAGTGTCACAATCTGATTATGCATGAAAAAGGATGCAAGTTCGTGACATGCACATCATGCATATACAGGTTCTGTTTCATCTGCTTACAAGATGATTGTAGCAAGGATCAAGCAAACTACTGGTCACTAACTTGCACAAAGCAGAGAGCAGAAAGACAGAGATTTTCATCACCACAATCCTGAACAGAAATTCATCGCAGGGTTGGAAACTACTTTCTAAAACGCAAATCCAAGATTTGAACAATTAATTAATTAATTTCACAAACTGATTCAGACTACAAAATAACTATAATATAGCATTTACTATTTTCCCCAGTGCTTTGAACTTATGTTTTGCCTTACATCTGACCTGGACTTTGGTTAGCAGGCATATCAACTCAAGTATGGAAATAATTACTTATTAAATGGCATATCCTAATCCTATTCAACACAACTTCAATAAAGTAGCACTGGTTAAAACGTGCAGACTTGTATCTGTAAAATATTGTTGTTAGTGAAACTGACAGAACATTATCTCTTACTAGGACTCTGTGCCACTCTACTTCTTTTATACCTAAAAGGCTAATATTAATATTAATAGGCTAAATACCTAAATATTATCAGTTGAAATGACAGCTCATGGTACAATATAAAAAAATACATACAATATTTCATTTTAAGTATTTAAGATTCTTAATGGCAACCTGTGTGTGTAGCTTTAAAAGAGCGACCATACATCTGTGGGGTTTTAAAAAAAAAAATATTCATTTATAATCAATCATAATCATTTATCATTTAATTATTCAATTTAATCAAATGCCGTAATCATTTATGTATATTTTAACCATTTGTTTATTTTTCTATTACTTTTTTTTTTAACTTATTATTTTACTGCTATTTATTGTTGTTTAATCTTATGATTGTGTGGTATCAAGGGATATTTGTCTTCACAAGTTAGAGATAAGAGATTGTCTCTAGGTGTTTAACATCACAGAACAATGTTGAGAAACAGTCATTTTCCATTGCTTTTGGTTTGGTATAATTTTGGCTGGTCAGACAAAGTACAGGAAAAAAGTACAGAAAAAAGTTAAGATGAAGTAGGGATGAAGTTCAGAGGAAGTCTGAGCATTGAAACATACAAAGTATATTGATTATTCAATAAACCTTGCTCATTTTTTGTCATCACTTCGTCACCTACTTTCTGCTATTTCACGCCTCTGTTAACCTCAAGAATTTTAGTTAATACAGTTTTGGGCACCAGACAAAATATAGATTTGTTAACTGATTTTGGGTATCAGATAAGATTATCTGTTAACTGGTTTTGGGTATCAGAAAAAAAAAAAAACGAAATCTGTTAAAAGACTGTGTCCAATATTTCTGGAGTGAAGATTCAATCTAACTGTTCATATTAAAGACTTACACAACAGAGTACTGCCCAGATTCAGGGCCCTATGGTCAGGCACTTTAAATCTAAGGGAAAGAAAGGTATAATGGCACAAATATTCACATGATGGATGCTTTTTATTCAAAGCAGGGACAGTCCTGTCAGGGATGAATGCAGGAATATTATCTTAAAGGGATAATTCACCTAAAAATAAAAATTCTGTGATTACTCATGTCATTCAAACAAATTAACTCTGTTCATCATATAAAAGAGATCATATCTCTTCACAAGACTTGAATTAAACGGCTTGATTCATATGGATTCAATTTGACACCTTTATAACCTTTTTTTTGGATCTTCTAAGTTTTGGTCACCTGGAAGTTCAATGGAGGGACAGAAACAGGTTTCATTGAAAATATCTTAATTTGTGCTTTGAATAGGAAGGCACCAATATGATTATTATTTTTTTGGCCTATACAGATTGACAAACAACTATTGGCCGATTCCGATATTTGTCACTTGCTTATTTGAACTTTTGTCATTAAAATTAGTGTTTTGATCATTTTAATTTAGCAGTTCAAAAATACATGCAGCCCGGAAAGTACTGCGTAATTAAATCGATTTTACAGCGTAATCTTCAGTAATTATAGTGTACCTATTACGTACTTACAATATAAGTATAAGGGAACAATATTTTAAGTTTGGGGAATAAAGGGGTAACAACCAGGAAAATTAAACAATTATTTATACTGTAAGTATTAAAGAACTAAAGGGTGCTCATTCTACTATTATGATATAACAATCTTACATTTGGGAGCAATTTAGCAAGAACATACCTTTTTGAAATAATGGTGAACCAGTAGGCTACATACTGTATAGGCTTTTTAAAAATTACAGGGTACATATCTATGCATTTAAAAAAGTAATCTTTTTTAACAAAAGTGCACTGAAAACGAAAATTATTGCAACTTTTGCTTAAATATTGGGGAAAGATACTCTTGTTTCATGTAGTGGTGCTTGTTACCCCCTTGTTCCATGTAGTTACAGGGTAAGTGTGACGTTGCGGGCTGTAAATTAAAGTGGTGCTTGTTACCCTCTTGTTCCATGTAGTTACAGGGTAAGTACAATACAAATGCATACACAATCTTATATCACTGACTCGAAAACCTTTATTTATTATACAAGCACCACTTGCCAAATGTAAGATTGTTGTATCATAATAGTAGAATAAGTGCCCCTTAGTTCTATAATACTTACAGTATAAATATTTTTTTATTTCTCCTGGTTGTTACCCCTTTATTCACCAAACTTTACATATTGTTCCCTTATACATGTAAGTACTTTATAGGTACACAATAATTACAGAAAGTTACACTGTAAATTCCTCTTACTTGCACAGTACTTTCCGGGCTGTAATCTAAAGCATTACCAATAATTTCTATTGAATATGGATTGGATCCATTTAACATTCAACATAAATACAACAGAACAAAGATGCATATGAAATAAACAGTGCTTTTCAGGTCTAACAGTAGTTTTTAGGTACAAAAATAAAGTAATCAAATGAAAAATATATTCTTCATTGTTTAAATTAAATATACATTAATCCTTATTAAAGTCGCAAACGTTATTTAGGCAAGAGTAGTGAGCGATTTGTTTGTCTTTTGTTGTTTGATTAACAATAAAACAAGCAGCAGGAATATTATACTAGTACACGGTCATTTTATTTCTCAAATGTTTATTTAAGATATAACCGACTATGTTTACAAGGATACTCGCCAAGACGGGCATTTTGATATAATTTTGTGTGAATTAGAAGAAGTGAAAGAACTCAATTCAGTATTTGCACATGGTCTATAACTTTGGATGTGTGCGCACACAAAACTTCTCACACAGTGAGTAGAATCGAGTTCTCTTTCGCATCGTCTTGCATATGAATGTTTAAATTCGCAAGGCTTATAAACAAGTGCAAAGGACAAACTTCCGTGAAGATGCAGCACTGGCCTGATCGGGACAGTGACAGTTCCTTCAACTCAACTGTCCCGAGCGTCGTTCACGCTGGCCAAACGGGCAGTCCTTATTGTCGAGTCCTGCTGCATTTTGTACAGATTTAATTTTGTTTTAGGAAGTATTTAATTACTTTGCCCAGAGAAAAATGTTGGATTATGCAACATACATTAAACAACTCAGTGCCTTCACACAGTTAACTAATAAACCATTGGTTTGTTACATCAGCCTTTTTCATGCTATAGCCGATAGTTTTAAACTGATAAAAATCCGGCCGATAAATATCGGCGGTTGATACATCGGTGCATCTCTAGTTTTGAAAATTAACCAAAGTCACCCCAACATGTGCGAGTAAATGGTGACAGAATTTTCATTTTTAGGAGAACTATCCCTTTAATAACTTTGGACCCTATATTGGATTCGTCCTCCAACACAAGACATACATTAATAGTGAATTTACACAACTGTTGTCATGAACACTGATGAACCTTCAATCCACCATCATTTCGAAACTTTTTTCCACACTGACCGCAAACATAAGGTTTCTCTCCCGTATGAAGGCGGAAGTGGCGCTTGAGTGTCAATGCGTGACGGAAGCGTGCGCTGCATATAGAGCAAGTGTATGGCCTCTCTCCTGTATGGATCCTCTGATGGATCTTGAGATGGTGCTTACGGTTGAAGTCTCGCCCACATAGGCTACAATGATAAGGGCTCCGGCCGGGGGGAAACGCATGGCAAACAAGACTCTTATAATGGTTGTTGTGGAGCTTTGGGAAGTGGGCTTGTTGACCTGAGCTTGAGGACGACAGGAAATCTAGGTCTAGAGGCAGAGAAAAGGGAAAACTACATGTAAAAATCTTGCAATATGGCAAATCACTGTGCTTAAATGGATCTGTCAGTTTATAATTGTACTCGGTGCAAATTAATATCACCCAACTAGCATGGCATATTATTTATATACAGTACAAAAGTAGTACTAACCTAGGGGTTGGTTGGTGGACTGAAAGTGCATGTTTGATTGGCAGCTCTCTGTGTGCAATGGCTCAGGTCTCCAGTCTTCCAATAGTCGAGACTGAGCCAGAGAAAGGCTGTCTGAGTTGGGCTCCTCCACCACAGAGAGGGACACTGGGATTGGGTCATCATAACTCTCATCTTTCTCCACTTTTACAGCCACTTCAAGGGATGACCTCTCACTTGTAACTGTCCCAGCACATGTCTGGTCAGTTTTGGTCATACTGTGTTGATCATTCTTGATGTCTGAAAAGGGAGTAACTCATTAAGTTTCATAAATCCAGTCCAAACTATGCATGCACAGTAGCAATAGATGTATACATTGCAAAAAAGATACTGTGAAATTTACAGTAACAAAACTGGCAGCTGTGGTTGCAAAAATAAATCACCGTAAAAAATACTGCGACACTGTTTCAGGTATTACAGAATGACATATTGGTGCCTGTATAACAGTATATTTCATTAAGCAATATAACGTTAATAAACCAATTAGCTATCAAAATCGCTTTTTACCTTAAAATGTACTGCTAACACCCATGATAATACAGGTGGTACAATAGAAAGCCACATAATTGATCAGATCAGAGTTCATTGTAAGTGGCCTGTCCATAAAACATGGCCAATATTTGTTCAGGGTAAACTAAAATAATGCAATAAACATTAACCAAGCAACAGAAAGTACCCGTAAAAAACACCCTACTGTACATTACTAATATCAAAAATAAGAAATACAACTAAATAAAATATAATCATAGGTGATGATTATATAATAATATAATCGCACAGTAAAATGACATATAATGTGAAGTTAAACCATTTAAAGGTTATGGTAAGTATATGATAACTTGGTAAAACCTGCGACTTGGTTAAAGCTGCAGTCCGTAGTTTGTCCTCTGTCGCCATCTCTGTTAGAAATCTGCAATTGCAGTTATTCGCGGAATTATCAACTTTACATGGTTTGTGCCTCGGCACGGCGCGGATGAATCCAATGTTTTGAGGAGAATGTCAGTCACCGCGCCGGTGTGGATTCTGTCATTCATTCGGAATCACGGATTCTACTTTTTGGAAGTATGACCAACATAAGAATTTTCACCGGAAAATGTAATCTGAACAAGTAATTAAAATCCACTTTTGTTCTGACCAACTAAGGGAAAAAAAAGCATTGCAGTAAATCGCGCTGATTAAATCTAACGATCGCTTATCATATCACGTCAAACCGTGGAAATTATACTTTGTTCTCAAATTGTTAAAGGGTTGAGAGTTAGTTAGGGTTAGTTAGAATGTTTTGAAGCATCGAAAATACATTTTGGTCCAAAAATAACAAAAACTACGACTTTATTCAGCATTGTATTCTCTTCCGGTTCTGTTGTCAATCCGCGTTCAGTGATGCTGATGACGTAAGACGCTGCTGATGTGTAATCTGGTGCGCCCAAACTTCGTTTACAGTCTGAGGAAGACGCACGCTGTAAACAAAACAATCTTCACAAACATGTCTAAGGATTTCGACACAGGAAGACTTGCATTTTTTTGCCCAGCCATATTTATTTGAACCTGAATACACGGACGCACCAGATACACGTCAGCAGCGTCACTGAACGCTAGGGGTGTAACGGTACACAAAAATCACGGTTCGGTACGTACCTCGGTTTTAAAGTCACGGTTCGGTACGTTTTCGATACAGCAAAAAGTAAGAAATGCCAGAGAATTTCCTATTTGTTTAATGAAATAATATTTTTTAAATAAGTATGAGTTTTCCTACATCTTGAAACTTTTAGGTCTATAAATGGGTGTCATCTTTGAAGGATGAACAAATAATGTTTTGGTCATCATCACATTAAAAATAACATTTAAATATATGAAGAGTTCAGATGCAAAAGCCATTTGAAATTTTATTCTAGAATGATCATTTTTATCAAGCTTGTATATTTAACTTCAGTAATTTCACTTAAATGGCAATGAAGATTACCTATTAATTGTCATTTGAGTGAAATTACTGAACTTAAATATACAAGCTTCATAAAAATGATCATTCTAGAAGAAAATTTCAAATGCATTTAGAGGCTTTTGCATCTGAACTCTTCATATATTTATTTATATAATATTTGAGTTTTGAAGTGCTGGAAAAAGATGTGTGAAGTACTTGAAAGCATTTCACTATTCCAGCCAAACTGGTTACAGTTAGTGTTACTATTTTAAATCCATGGTGAATGTTGCTGGTCTGTGGACGTAAAGTATTACTAGTTCATTCACGGCACAATATTTCTCCTGGTGTCCACGTCAGCGCTGTTTGATCTAATAGAGATCTACGGTTAATAACGGAGAAATGTGAATGCTTCTCACTAGATCTCGCAGCGATGTTATTACTTCAGTGGCGAATTCAAATGTTTTCTTCACTGGATCTCTTAGCGCTGTGTAGTTACAGTGTCGCTTGATCGAGATCGGCTCGCGCTGCACAGATGTTGCTGGTCCGAACTTATAAACGGTCCGTGAAGCACAATAATGAGTAGCGCAGTTTCGTTCCGCTATCATTACGCTTGCCATTTGATGTTGCGCAACGTTGTGGTGATCGCGCCAGCGCGAATTTTGTCGGCAGGAAAAATGGTCCAAGGAATCGTTCGGTTTGTATGCGCACCGAACCGGAAGCCTCGAACCGAAACGGTTCAATACGAATACATGTACCGTTACACCCCTACTGAACGCGGATTGACAACAGAACCGGAAGACAATACAATGCTGAATAAAGTCGTAGTTTTTGTTATTTTTGGACCAAAATGTATTTTCGATGCTTCAAAACATTCTAACTAACCCACTGATGTCACATGGACTCCTTCGATGATGTCTTTATATCCTTTCTGGACAAGGACAGAATACCGTACATACATTTTCAATGGAGGGACAGAAAGCTCTCAGACTAAATCTAAAATATCTTAAACTGTGTTCCGAAGATGAACGAGTGGGGGTTCAATCTTCAGCTGGCTGGCAGGAGCCGCCACTGGCATGTCACGTGACCTGTCAGTGGCTGGCTAGTTGTCTGGCAGTCTGCCTTTGGCAAGTTTCAGAAACCATTGATTTTTGACAGTTTTTGTGTTTTGTGTTCCTCCCTTTCTAGCTCATTTATTATGCATCTGTTGATATGATTATGTTCTTTAGTATGATTGCTGTTTTGAGGACTGTTATCCCAATATAACCAGTCAAATGGCCGTGATCCGACTAGCAGCTTACAGACGCTTGCTGGACGCTCATCCAGTCAGTCGCGGCTCATAGTGCGAGTATAACGCGTTGCCTGACACTCTCGCTACAAGGAAATAAATTGTTTTCTTATTATGAATATAATGTCACGCATCTATTCTTCTTTGCAACTGCACACTGTGTGTGTGTTGAATAATAGTTTAAGTGCGACAAGCAATGGCCTATATAGATTCTTGTTTTTTATTTGTAAATATATATTTTTCTTTGTTTTTATTTGTAAATAGTTTTTTTCTTGGGTTTTATTTGTAAATAGTCTTTGTAAATGTCAATCATACACAAGAATAAAGGCATGACATTATATTCATGATAAGAAAACAATTTATTTCCATGCAGCGAGAGTGTCAGGCAACGCGTTATACTCGCACTATCAGCCGCGACTGACTGGATGAGCGTCGAGCAAGCGTCTGTAAGCTGCCAGTCGGATCACGGCCATTTGACTGGTTATATTGGGATAACAGTCCCCAAAACATCAATCATACTAAAGAACATAATCATATCAACAGATTCCTAACAAATGAGCTAGAAAGAGAGGAACACAAAACACAAAAATCAATGTTTTCTGAAACTTGCCAAAGGCAGACTGCCAGCCACTGACAGGTCATGTGACATGCCAGTCTCAGACTGGCAGCTGCCAGCCAGCCACTGACAGGTCACGTGACCTGCCAGTGGCGGCTCCTGCCAGCCAGCTGAAGATTGAACCCTTACAGAGATGAACGGAGGTCTTACGGGCTTGGGACGAAATGAGGGTGAGTCATTAATGACATAATTTTCATTTTTGGGTGAACTAACCATTAAATGTTAACAACATCAGCATTGCGTGACTACATTTAAAGCCCTTCAGATATTTATCCTTGTTTTCGCATGGGCCGGGTTGCAGTCTCTTTTTTTCTGTAGCCACTCCGAAGTCTTTTGCATTTTACAACGGGTGAACCTGTTGTCACTGGTGATTGTCGCTTGAACCTTTCTGGATCTGCCATCAAATTGATAAGTTTAATTATATCAAGTGTGCTGTGAGAAAGGGCTATAAATCTCTACCTCCAACATCCTCACACGCAACATAGCTTATACTAGCCGAGACTCCTCGTTTATGTGTACAGATGTGACGTAATGACGGAAAGACATGCTCAAATTTCCCGCAGAAATCCACCAGTACCACTGGAATTAAAACATTATTACAAGCTTACCGTTTTGAATCGAGCTACGGCAACCAGATAGTTTTAAACACTGGCGAGTTATGTACTTTCTCAAAAATGTATTTTGGATAATTTTTAACCCAATAAAGTTACAGACTGCAGCTTTAACTATGGTATTTTTGCAGCCTTTTCTGTAAGAATTGCATTTAAAAATATATATATATTTACAGTGTGTAAGCAAGTGTAACTTGAACACTGTCATGAGGTGATACGGTTATCATCACTACTACTGATACAGCAACATATGTCGTTATGGCTAATAACAACTCACATGGGGTAAAATGAAAAAGGAAAGAGTAAACATGAAGTCAAAATGGGCCAATAGTTTTAAAGGTATCATTAACAGTCGGTCATTTTAACTGATTTAAAACTTTAATTTATGCATTCGTCTTTAGACATCAAAATAGCTTAACTTACCATTTGTGTCATCTAATCTATAGTGAGTTGATTCCTCAAGTGTATCCGAGTTTAAAGTCTGAGCGCACGCGCCTCCATTTTGGTTCCCACGGATTGATCCTCGCTGGAATATATTAACGTTAGTTCCCTTGGATCCACAAACCTCATAATCATGTTCCGAGTTCACAGTGGGCTCGGTTTGTTGTCCTACGTTAAGGGTATTTAACTGCCGACCCCCACGCTGAACCTTGCCACAGCTGATTGGAGGGTTTGTCACCAACTGTTTGGTACTACCGATGAGAAAATCATCGAGTCTCTGTGGCTGTTGATCCAGGCGACCACACACAGTAGAAAGTTGCGTTTCAGCAGTTTGCAGCCTAAACTTGAGCGCACTGTTGTCCCGAAGAGCCTCTTGAATCTTGCCCTGCACATCTCTCAGCGCTCTGTCAAGCAGTCTGGTGATCTCCGCAACGGCGATCTCTACCGCAACACCGAGCGCGTTTTGAAGGGTCGCAGTCAGTTCATCTTGAAACGAGAACGATACCTCAGCGATCACTGCGGGGTTTGCAGGACCACCGTTTACCTCCATTTCCTTAATCGTTTAAAATAACTTTTCGCCAATATTGTAATATCTTAAGAGTAGACGAAGCGCACCGCTCTACGTATAACCCTGAAGAGGCGAACGTCAATTAGCTGGCCAACCAAATCATTCCCTTCGTTGGGTGAATATAAAACAACTGACCATTTGTACTTAGTTTTAAACGAGCCCATTTTAACTCTTCAAAAAACAAACTAACAAAATACATTTTTTTTAAAAACCCGCACAATTCACTGTCGTCAACCATGGTAAAATGTCAAATTTAGAAGAATTGAACAAAACTCCGGAATAAGACACAGTTGTCCTCGTGGTTTTTAAAATGTTTTCTTTTTCTTTTTTTCTTCTTCTCACATTTACCCTTACCTTTTAAGACAGGGATCATAGCAATACTAAAAAACAGGGTAATACTAAAATAGCAAATATGTTGACATTAGCCTATTTGACATTATGAATGTATAAACATTTTCACAAAGTCATGTGGAGGGTTTACATTTCTTCAATTTACATGTGTGAAACTGATATACAAAATTATCATGTTCACAAGGTCAGAAATCCGCGGATTAAATATATTTTAAAAGAATGTTATTAATTTTCACTGAAAGCTATTTAAGTTGACCGCATTGTTATAGCCTATAAGAACACGAAAAAATGCATTTAGGTGTTTATAGCTATTTTTTAAATAAAAGTCATTTGTATTTTTAATTAGTTTATGGACATTATAATCATCATAATCATAATCAACAACCGAGGGACCGGAGTCCACTAAGAAAATTAAGCATGCAGAAAAACATATCCTAAAAGAAAGATCATGTTCCGCGAAAGATTATCAGGGAAAAACTGTCCTGAGATATCAACCCGATCTCCGTGACAGTAGGCTATTTGAAATCAGTAAAATCAAAAGTGACCGCTATCAGATTCTCCGTTCAGTCACTTCAGCCTTTTGCAGTGGTGGAGGAAGTACTGAATCTCAGTACTTAAGTAAAAGTACAAATAACCAGAGACATATTTACTTTAGTAAAAGTAGAAGTACCACAATGACAATTTATTCTCTTAATGTCTATATTCTAATGATTAATAAAACAGTTAATTCTAACTCATTCAACCTAATACTCATATAATGATGTTCAATATGATTGACCGGGTTGATATATCTATGGCAACCAAACTTCACTGGTGAGACAGAAACGTGCGATGAACGGACGGTCAGGATGACGTTTTGGCAGGGGAAAAACTGATCAGAAAATTTAACAAAAATGTAACAGAACGTTGTAGAAATGTAGTGGAGTAGAAAGTATAATAATTGCTGCAAAATGTAACGAAGTAAAAGTAAAAAGTATGCACTATTGATTCTACTTAAGTAAAGTACAGATACGTGAAAAATGTACTTAAGTAAAGTAACGAAGTATTTGTACTTCGTTACATTCCACCACTGGCCTTTTGTACGTTTACAATTTACAAGCCCATATATGGGAAGCCGGAAGCTGAGCGCGCCATACTTTAACTTGGAGCATTTTCGTGGGTTTTGGAGCAAGGGGGTAATCCATCGACCGGAAGTTGAAGCCGGCCGGGTGCCGCCATGTTGTAGCAGAACTTCACTTGCATTAGCATTTCCATTGACTCCCATTCATTTTGGCGAATAACTTTACATCTGAGGCGTTTAAAGACTCCGTTTGTCCATTATTTATTTCTAAAGAAACACGACAATGTATAAAGGGCTCCATTACCTTCTATGTTACATTATGGCCCCGTAGAAACAGATTTAGTAGAAATAGGCTAACGATTGCGTCATGACCACTCGACTCTCTGTCGCGCTGTACCGAAAGTACCGTACAGACAGGAGGAGAAGCTCGCAGGCAATCGGGGGGACGTCCCGTCAAGGGAGAAGCCCATAGATAATGAGTCCATAAAAGCAACGGAATACTTACTCCTGCTCACTCACACCAAAGAACTCTTTGCTCAAGTTCCCCGTCTCTGCAAGATTAACGTTGGCAGTTTTCACGCACAGCTACTAGAAGATTAACGTCTGTCAGACAGGTTGCTCACGTCATCAAGCTTAGTTTGAGTCGGTTTGAGTCTGCGCGTCAGGAACGGAAGTGCTCAAAAATCGCTAAAAATGGGCTTCAACTGTCTCAACTGAGTTCCAATGAGATGGCTCTGTCCACTTCTTATACTGTCTATGGTTTGGAGCTATGGTTTGGAGGTTTATCGCATCTGTCAACAACGGCGTAAACAGCCGAGCGTCCTAAAAGTATTAGAGGACAGAGGAAAAATAAAGAGACCAAAAAGCGTCAGGATCAACAAATCAGCAATGTGAGAATGGACACTATAAAGATTTTCTTCGCAGAAGTTAGGTGAGCGCTTGATAAGCGCATGCCGAATTGCTTTGCTTGATGGGGCGGTAGTAGATTTTAGGTGTCAGTTACCATTATGTTCTTTAACAGCACTTTGTAAAATGAAAAAACTATGTAGGCCTATTAAAATAATGTAGCGATTAAAAGTTTCCTTCAGTGGATTTTTCACACTTTTATCTCATGTATTGTTTCCTGCACTTGAGGAAAAAGTAAATAAGAGACATAACTATTTGAAATTTAACAGCCACTGAATACTTAGTTTAGAAATATTTTATTTTGAAAAACATTTATCTGAATTTATTTGCTCTGAATTCACCCCTTTGAAATTATTTTACTTTGGAAACCATGTATCTGAATTTATTTGTTTAGAATTTAAATAGGCCTATGAAAATTCTTGATTTCCATTTTAAAAACCTGAATTTCGATTAATATTTTTCAATGGTCACAAATTCAGATGCAAAAAAAATCAACTTACAGAATTTCAGATAAAATAGATTCAGGTTGATCAAATTCGACTGCTCAAATTCAGATCGAAAAATTCAAGTTAAATTTTCACATGGTAACATCCGGGCTACCCAGGATAGGCCACGCCCACACCGGGGAGAAAACAATCCAACCGTCTCCATTGATTTGCATTGCGAGAGGCTGCCTCGTCATTTATGACTTACAACAAAAAACAAAACAATGTCTAAAAGCTGTTGTGAGACAAGGTGTACAGCAAACAAGCTAAATAACCAAGAAATTATTTTTTATAGGCTGTCGACCCCAAAAACGATTTGTTCAGGACAGTGGATCAATTGAGAAAGAGCGCAACTATTTCTCGAACTACTCTGAGAGAACTATACGCCCACTGGAACGTGACATATTGTAAAAAAAAAACACACAAAAACATTCATAATTTTAACCATGTCGATTGCTTATTTCACCACCCTATTTGAACCTAAGAAGAGGAGATATATTAAATTTACCCATTCTTCCTGCTGATGCTTCACGTTTTACCCAGCTAACAAAATTATGTTCTAAGAACGTTGTGGGAACGTTGGTTTGAAATGTTCTAAAAACGTTGAAATGTCCAGTTTGCTTAACGTTGCTGGAACGGTATCTTAATGTTAGCAAAACGTTGCTGGAACGTTAGCATAATGTTGCTGGAACGTTATCTTAAGGTTAGCCTAACATTGCTGGAACAGTATCTTAATGTTAGCAAAACGTTGCTGGAACGTTAGCATGATGTTGCTGGAACGTTATCTTAAGGTTAACATAACGTTGCTGGAACGTTAGCATAACGTTGTTGGAACGTTAGCATAACATTGCTGGAACATTATTTTAAAGTTTGCATAACGTTGCTGGAACGTTAGCACAACATTGCTGAAACATTCTTAAGGTTAGCATAACGTTGCTGGAACAGTATCTTAATGTTAGCAAAACGTTGTTGGAACGTTATCTTAAGGTTAGCATAACGTTGCTGGAACATTATTTTAAAGTTTGCATAACGTTGCTGGAACGTTAGCAAGCACAACATTGCTGAAACATTCTTAAGGTTAGCATAACGTTCATGGAACAGTATCTTAATGTTAGCAAAACGTTGTTGGAACGTTATCTTAAGGTTAGCAAAACGTTCATGGAACAGTATCTTAAGGTTAGCAAAACGTTGTTGGAACGTTATCTTAAGGTTAGTATAACGTTCATGGAACAGTATCTTAAGGTTAGCAAAACGTTGTTGGAACGTTATCTTAAGATTAGCAAAACGTTCATGGAACGTTATCTTAAGGTTAGCATAACGTTCATGGAACATTATCTTAACATTGCTGGAACATTGACATAACGTTGCTGGAACATTATCTTAAGGTAAGCTTAACGTTCCTGCAGCGTTCTTTCCCCAAAAATGTTATTAACAATACAACAATCAAAGAACATTAAAATGTCCACTTTCTTTCATGTTAAAATTACATTTTAAGGTTAGAAAAAAAATTCTGCACCATTCGTTCAACTTAATTTTTTTTTATTAACACAACCATGTGAATTATAAGCACACACTTTTACAGCACATCAAAAAGTAGAACATTTCATGATTATCATACATTTTAAACGCTACATTATAGCTTAAAAAAACAACAACAAATATTTTCATATAAACATTTAAATGAAATGAAAACCGTTTTTAAGGGTTAGTTCACCCAAAAATTCTGTCAGTAATTACTCACCCTCATGTTATTCCAACCCCGTAAGACTTTCGTTCATCTTCAGAACACAAATTAAGATATTTTTGATGAAATCTGAAAGCTGGCTCACTCCTCCGTAGGCTTCTAGGCAATTTCATTCTGGCGAATTTATCAAGCGACAACAATCATTTTTGTGCACAAAAAAAACAAACAAAATAACAACATTATTCAACTATTCATTTTCTTCCGTATGGGCCTCTGAGTGACTTCACTAGTGCTGGGAGAAAAAAATAGATTCACCTAGGTATCACGTTTTTTTTTTTTTTTTTTTTTTTTTTTTTTTTATTATTAAAGAATCGATATTAATTCAAATTAAATTTATTTTTGTCCTTGCTTATAGACGAGGTTGACCAAAGTAAGTCACTTCCGTTCCAACAGAGAATGAAATGTGTCGTTATCTTTGAGTAACGTAATATCCCTTTCAAGAGGACGCGTGAAAGCGACGTGAGATTGAATGCATTGAAAAGCCCTTGCGCTACTCATATACAGAGAGATAAGACAATAGAGCTGCACGATTCATCTTTAAAAAACTTGATCTCGATTCAAACACCCACGCGATTTGTTTCCATTTCGTCTG